TCAAATAGAAAAGCTCTCTCTGTTGAATTGAAAACACTCCTTCCTATTCGTTGATATTACCTCATTTTGACTATTGTTGTGCTGTTTATAATGATCTGACAGATGAACTCAACTATAAACTGGATAAACTTCTAGATTCGTGTATAAGATTTATATTTAATTTATAAAGGGATGAACATATTTCTCCTTATCGTCAGGGACTGGGATGGCTAAATAAACTAAAATAAACGTTTTTTGTTTATTGGATGTTTGACATGTCACACTGATTACAAGAAGGCTTCTTTTACTTGTATAACAAGTTTACTTTTAGAAATGAAATTACTTTGAGAGAAGTAAGGAGCCCTGATTTGTTCAGGGCACCTTTTTGAAGAACTGAACAGTATAGCAATTCTTTTAATGTCACTGCTGTAACTTTTTGGAACTCTCTTCCTAGTGCAATAACGAATGCAGAAAGTATTGGTATTTTTAAATTCAAACTTTTTAGATTTAGATATTTGTTAGCACTCCATAATTAAAACTTATTTTTACTGTTCTTCTATCACATTTTAATTTTGTCATTTTTCATTCCTAATTGTAAAATTGTATATATGTATACTACACTAAGCGTCTGCAGTGGTGGAGTCTCTTTTATAGGGATATTTTTATGATTAATGTGTTATTATTTTGCTTATATTTTATATTTCAAATTTAATTATTGTTAAAGAACTCTTAATTGAATTGAATAATGAATTTGTATTATTATGTATATTTTTGAATTTATTGTATTTTTATGGTTGTTCTCATGGTTTCCTGGAACAAAATAAAGAAATCTAATCTAATACTTTTGTTTTTAGAGGACATTAGAAGAGGGTTTTTCCTCTAATTATGAGATTACTTTTTTTAGGGTGCACAGTGGGGAAAAGAAAGATTGTTCTTGGTAGTATTCGACAATGAGCGATATTATTGTGAGATATATGTATGTAATTACGATATCTTGAAATCAGATGAGGGATTACGGACGTCGTTTCTTTTATTCTGTTTGCCTGAAATGCAGATCTCGAAGGGAGAATCGAGTGTGAATTTTTCCTTTTCGTCCACTCCCACCCTCCCCCTAATTCCTTCTCCCACCATTCCAAAGATCGCATCAACGCTTTCACATTTTACATTCTCACGACATTATATGCATTCGCGGGCGGAATCACACGTTGATAAGAACTCGCGGCGAGATTTCACGCTTCGCAGAGCAACACGTGCACGCAACTCTGGACGATGCGATACAGTAACCCAGAAATCGCAGTGACAATTTTTTATTGCAAATTCCTTGCTGTAGATTTAGATTTAGTTCATTTTTTATTCCCCTGCTTTGAAAATCTTCAAGAGAGAATTTTTTTTAGTTTTGCGACTCTTGGAACACAAGTTTGTATGTTTTAGAACTGTTCTGCGCATTGGAAACAGTCGTAGAATTCTTCTGCGCATCCTTTATTGTCGTACAATTTTATTGCGCAGCTCCAAACGGTACGGCAATCCTTCTGCGCAGGTCTAAACGTTATCACGCAGTTCCAAAAACAGTTATTGTAGAAGCGGCATTACTTAAAGTCATTTCGGTTATTCCCGGGAATCTCGAGTTGAAAAATTGTCGAAAGCGCCACCTGAAAAATAGCGCGAAATTCAAATTACAAAGTTTTATTTTTTAAAAGAAAATAAAGTCACTTAAAAAATGTCACTGTCAAGAAATGTTTCTTATTTCTAAAATAAGAATTTAATAAAATAAAATTGTTAAATAAAAAAAGTTAATAATTTTCTGTCGCAATGAATAATAAATTAAACTCCCAGGAGGATTTAAATTTTTTTTTCTAAAATGAATGAACAACAACTGTAATAATATTGCAAAAGAGTAGAAATAACTTGGAATATTGAATGTTTAATTAAGTTGCGGGTTGATTGACTGGACTTCCCCCTTCCTTTTGCTCTAAATACAAGCCCGCTGAGCGTGTGGGATGCTTGTGAGTACGTATTACGTGTAGCATACCAGTCCATTGACGCGCGTAAGCAAAACTTTAATGGCCTTTCCACTCGCGCGAGGAAGCTCTTTCTCTCTCACTCACTCTCTCACGGTTACATTTAATTATCCAAGAAAATTAATATGTGCGCACAACGTAATCAGGTATCTTCATTCTCAATGACGTAGAAAAAATTAATTTTTCCACAAATATTCTTTTAATGAAAATATTTATTATTAAATAACAAGAATTCATTGTCAATATTTTTATAATGAAAAATATTACAAAATATATTTCGACTATTTTTATAATTGAGAAATGTAGTAAATATTAAAAAAAATATGTAATTGTTTTTGAATTTTGCGGCGCTAATTTCTTTAGTAAAATAATTTTGAATCACATGACCGCAGCGTCTCTCACGTGACTTTCCTTAACGTCGAAAATCGGAAAATTAATCAAAGTAATTTTCTCAATTTTCAGTAATTTCCCCAAATTTACAAAGTTCCCAAATACCTATAAGAGATGAATATTATTTTATCGTTTAAAAAAGTAAATATTAAATCAAGTACAGTTGATAAAATACTAAATATAGTGAATTTGTTTATTCTCGTGAGTATGATTCTAATTATTATCACTTTTTCCTTTTTTTAATAATCGGCATAGTTCTTTTTTTTCTAAAAATCGAAAAACGACATAACCTCACTTTTTTTTTTATTATTGTTGTCATTGTTGTCGATTTGCAACATTTGTGAATAAATTAAAAATCGTGAAAGAAAAAAAGGAATGAAAATACTCGTGATTAATCTATAAACAAAATTTTGTTCTTGTTTTATTTATTCAAGGTGAAATACGGAAGAAATACTGTAAATTTTTGTGACTGCAGTGTTTTCATTGGAAATATTTTCGCGAGTATTGTGAGCAGGTGAAAGAGAAAAGTGCATGTGTGCATTTTAATATGTGGAGAATATTCTGAGAAAGAGAATTTGAAACAAAAAAAAATAGCGGCCTGGCGATAATATTATAGGTTATGTTACCAGAACAATAGATTCACAAATCTTGGAGAGAAACGAGTTTGTAGGAGAAATAAAAGGAAAAATACAAGCAAGGTATTAAAGTCACGAATATAATTGTAATAATAATTCCAAGTTTGTCATGTATATTTACTTGCCATTTTTTACCGAAAACAGGTACTTTTCTTCTTTGTAATTTTTACGTTTTTTAAATATCAATATTGTCGTCACTATTTTTTGTTTATTTATTTAGTCGAATTTAGTTGAATTTAAGTTTATAGATTCATTTAAATTTAATTAATTCCACTCTAAGTTATTAATTTGCTAGTCGGAGAAAATTCATTACTAATTATCTATTTTATCAGTTAAATTTATATAATTCATAAAATAATAAATGGCAATAAATTATTGGAGTTTTATTTCTCGCGATGACTATTACTCGGTGAACTGAAGAATAAGCAAAGTCGTGAAACAAATATTCGTCCTTTCTATAATAATATAATCTCTCCTCGTCCTTTCAAGAATACTTTTTGCAAGGCTAAAAACGTAAACGTTGTTCTTTACGCTGAATATTCTCTAGGCAGACAATAATAATAATAACAATAATAACAATAATAATATTTCTCGTGACGTTTTCGACATTAATGACACGTTTTCTTTTCCTTTAATTTATCACTGCTCTCTCAGTGTGTGTTTGTGTGTAATGTACCACCCAGGTGATTTAATATTCTTTTGTCGAACAATGAGAAAAGAAACATTTGTTTTGACGTTTCTTTTAAACCCTTTTTCGATACATTATTATTCTTTTTTATTTCATTTTTCTTACTTTTTTATTTCGTTTTTGTTACCTTTTTATTATCATGTTTGTCACTTCAAAATTGTTTTAAATTGCAAATTTTTTTGTTATTTTTACCGATTTTGTCATTCGGAACAAGTTGACACGGAAGTTAGTAAAAAAAGAATTCTTTTGATGCTTTTTTCCAAAAATAATTAGTCCCGTTAATTAGAATTGTAGCTGATTTATCTTTTTCAAGTTTTGTAGATTTAATCATTGAATGAATAAGAAGGAACAATGAATATCACTTTCCCCACGCATATCTGTCAGCTAAGAATTTACAAATTCCTGTATTTCTCTTCAAAATTAGTGACTTCCTGGATTTTTTATTCTTTTCCTCTTACTCCACTTTTGTTGAGAAATTTCTTTTTTTTAATGAAGTTTACATTTTTTTTTTATTATTATTACACCATTTAATTGACCATTTAATTGACTTGAATAAATATATTATTTGATTCATTTAAATATTTAATTGATAATATTATTAGTATTCCAATTTATGTATATTAAATTTATAATCTTTTTTTTATATAAAATGTTTTCAAGGTTCAATGGACAAAGAATGAAATAATAAAAGAAAGAAAGAAAGAAAGAAAATATCAGTATTTTTTTTGAATATCGGCTGGTCCGAAAAAAATAAAAAATTGAAACAAAAGTATTAAACACAAATAATGTAATGTGGTAAAATAAATGAGAATTTTTCTTTTTCGAAAAAAGAAAGAGAAAAAGAAAGAGAAAAAGAAATTACAATGAATAACTCTGAGATTTTAATAACAAATGGACATCGATGTCCACATCGTGGTTTGGCGAAATACCCGAGCATCGATAAGAAACTCTGGGACGCAAGCAGCAGTTGGATTCTACAATGGGACAATATTATGAAGCATCCCGGAGCAAGAGCAAGAGGTTGTCATTGCGACGTTCACAAACCTCCCTGGTTGTACCCAAATTTAGGTATTTGGCATTTCAAACGAAAAAACCTCATTTTCAAAACTGTCTTTTTAATTATTAATACATTATATACCAGTAAATAAAAAAAAATATCTGTGAAATTTTTCATTACCTGTTATTGCTCGATAAAATGTTTACCACTAACTATATATTTCAAAAAATGAAAATACTCATTTCCTTTGTGAGCGATGATACAATAATGTTTCTCCTGTTTTCTGTTCACAGTGGGAAAAGAATCGGACGAACCTGACAGAGTGGTGAGTAAAATTACCATGTTTGATTTTTGATAGTTGGTATAAGTGAATAATACGAATATTTTAAATGGTGCGAAAAATGATATTGAATTTTAAGGAACTTTACTTTTGCATTGCAGATACGATCGGCGCCTGTCAAGAAAGTTACTTCTAGTCTTTTGCAAAAAAGAAGTCAGTTTGGACCCGCGAAGCAAGTGCTTTCAGTGCCAGGTACAAAGCAAAAACAAATTTTACTTTTTAATGGTAGAATAAGTTTTTATCTATGTATAGGTGATAATTATTAAATTCGTCGTGATTTAATGTTAGACAATCATTTTTTAGTATTGTAGAAAAAAACCAAAAATTGCTGTCCACGCTTTTTGCTTACTAAGAGAGCACAATATTTATCGTCATTAATTATTAGTCATTCATCAAGTCTAATTGTACTAATTATTTAATTTTTAATTATTATCAACGAAAATATTTAGTTTAGTTTATTTTAATTCAGGACTCGAACTAGGTCCGTAAATTCCGTAAAGGTCCGTAAGTTTGCTTCAAGTCCGTAAAAGACAATTTTTTTTTTTTAAAAAGTCCGTAATTTGATAGAGAAAAGATGAAAAGTTCGTAAATTGTTCGATATAATTTGCAGAATTTTAGAGAAATTATTACAAATCATTGCAAAAATTTAATTATTTTCAAAAATTATTACAAAATTCTTCGCTGAAATTTAATTACATTCAAAAATTTTTTTTAAATTCTTGTCAAAATTCCAATTATCTTTAGAAATAATTAAATTCTTCTACGCAATTCAATTCTGCAACAAAAATTTCAAAAAAAATTCAATTATTTACAAATTTTTTATAAATTTCCTCGCAATCATTCAATTATTTTCATAAATAATAAAACCTAATGCAGAATTTCAATTATTTTTAATACAATAAATTTTAATTTAAAATTTTTTTATTAAAATTCGGCTAAAGAATTCAATGATTTAAAAATTTGTTGATAAAATTCTTTATAGGAATTGAATTTTAAGAAACATTCAATTATTCAATAAATTATTATGCGTAAATTTTTAGAAATAATTGAATTTTGAAATAAATTTTTTTGGAAGTTTAATTTAATTTTTTTGATATTATTTTAAGTTTTTATTTTCTAATATACGTTTAATTGAGTAAGAATTTACAAATAATTGAAATTTCGTAAAATTGATTTTGTAAACAAATGGATTTGAAAGTTGTCAAAGAACTTTTTCGAAAATTATTATTTTTTGGTCCGTAAAGTTCGTATTTTTAAATACTTGAACTGGTTCGAGCCCTAATAATTCATTATAAATTAATTTATTATTTAAACATTCATTGATTCATTATTATTAATTGATAACCATAATTAGACAAATTAGTATATGACATAATGATTGTTTTTGCTATTATCATTCACAATGCCGACTATTATAATTAATTAGTTTTTATTAAGTTATAATTTCAAATTTAATTTTTAATTTTAGTTTAATTTAAATCTTTTGATTATTAAAATTATTACTTATTTATTTTTACTTTTATCTGCTAGTCCATTTTGTAATTCATTGAGAGCTTTTTTCGTTAACTATTCGCTTTGCATGGCAGATACGAACAGTCACGATGCAATTTCGAAGCCGACGGGTGTCAAAAGAATCCCGTCAATAAAACCACCATCAGGTACGATTATATTTTTATGTGTTGACTTTTCTTCTTTTTGATTGTCTCTTTTTTTACACATTGTTGACAAAAGTATTCATTTTCTTATCAAAAATTCAATATTTTTTGGTTCTTCTCAAAATTATTTTATAAAGAGAAAGTAAAAATTAATTATTTTTATGTATAATTTCGTACTTTGTTTGTTGCCGTCTAACAATTTTTCTGTAATTTTGAGCTATGAATATTATCAAAAAAATTGATCGCTTGTATTTTTAGTTAATTTTCATGCGACTAATTAGACGCATCAATTTTATACATTTTGTATGATTTTCCATTGACTAATTTAATTTAATTGTTAATTGATTTTTACTTGCTTAAGAATCATGTTTTTAATAACGCTTTTTTGGTTTGAATTTCATTAATTTAAAGAATATTTTGGAATTTTGTGTTTCAAAATTACAAACAAAAAATTGTAATTGAACAATTTTGTCTTTCTTTAATTTTTGGATTCCTTTTTCTTTTTCTTATTTTTCGTCTATAATTTATTCTGTAAATTATGATATTGAAAGTTGTGAAATGTTCACAGGGCAAGCAGGAGCAGTGGATGAAGATACATTTATAAAAGCCTTCGACGACGTTCCCGATGTGACAATATTTTCAGCTAAAAATCTCGAGGAACAAATGAAAGTTATAAAAGATATCGTCGGGGACGAGAAAAAAGACTGGAAACTTAGAGCTGACACTGTAAGTTTGAAAACTATTTTTTTTCATTTCTTGGTTTTGAAAATAATTTGAAAATTTAAATATTTTCATTTATTGCCGTTTATTTCTCAATTGTAATTGTTTTCCTCCTTTTGCCTACAGATGAAGAAATTGCGAGGAATTATAATTGCCGGCGGACCGAATTATGAAAATTTTGCCGAGTGCTTGAAGAATATGCAACGCGCATTTGACACTGCCTGCATGGATTTGAGGTCGCAAGTTGTACGCGAGGCGGCAATTACAATGGCCTTTTTGAGTCAACAATTGAAAAACAAATTCGCCTCATTCGCTGAAGCCGTTCTGCTCACACTTATGAATCTCATTCAAAACAGTGCCAAAGTAATTTGTCCATTCCTACTTTCTTTATTCAGTTTAAAATCATTGAAAACAGTAATAATTTGTTGTAATTCAGTAACAAATGTGTAATGTCGATAAACAATTTTCCAGGTTGTAGCCTCGGCGGGTGCAGTCGCGGTCCGATTCATTCTCCAACATACACACGGCAGCCGTTTAATTCCAATTATCACGACGTGTGTGAATCACAAGAGCAAAGAAATTCGTCGCGCGTCGTGTGAATATTTGAATCTTATACTGAAATCATGGCCCCAACAACTGTTGATGAGGCACGTGAATATTCTTCAGGACTCAATCAAAAAAGGAATTGCCGATTCAGATCCAGAAGCTCGTTGTTTCGCTCGAAGGTATGTTTTTTCATTTTATTAATGAAACTTTATTTATTTATTTATTTATCTCCTCTCGTTTTTCCACAGTTCCTACTGGGCGTTTAAGGATCTATTTCCCGAGCAGGCGGAGGTTTTGTTAAACAGTCTGGATGCCACGTACAAAAGATCATTGATGTCGTTGAGTAACAGTGGCAGTATAAACAGTTTGAACGCAGTGGCGAGAACGACGAGCGTCAGTCCACGAGCCTCGAGGCCCGCTTTGAGCGCCGCAGGTTTGTTTCTTTCATTTCATTAATTACTTATAAAATCATTCAAATTCAAATTCGAATTCAAATTCAAACATGCACGCAAAAATAGTCATTTTCGAAGTTATTAGAATTTAACAATTAGTTGGACTTTATAGTTGTAGTAAATTTTTTTATTATCCATTAATTTTCTTTTCCATTTACCATCTCTTTACAACTGCGCAAAATTCATATTTCATTCAAAAAATATCTACGCTTTTGCGCATGTCCATAATTATAAATCGCCATGACCGAAAAATTGGTGCGATTTTAATATTTTCAATTGACTATGTATTTTCTGAGAATTACATTTTTAAATTACATCAATAATTTTTATATCAATGGGTATGATGGAACTATATTTTATTAATTAAATTAAATTATGCATTAATAAAATTAATAATTTCAGGGTTGCCACAGGTCAGGGAAAAGTCGGGGATTTTTATTAAAAATACTGGAAAAAATGTTAGTTTTTAGAATTTATAAGAAAATTCTCAATTTTTGTGTCTTTATTGTTTGTCTCATAAACTATAAAATTGCCAAGAATTCTAATACAAAACCTTCAATTCTTTCTATTTCAGACAGTAATTTAAAAAAAAAAAATTGTACTGATTCTCAAAAATTTTTTTAAATTCGCCGAAAGAATTCAATTATTTTTAAAAATTTTAATAAAATTCTCCATAAAAATTCAATTTTAAGAAATATTCAATTATTTATTTTTGTATTTAAATAATTGAATTCCAGTAGAATTTTCTAATAAAAATTGATTAAAAAATGAATTTCAGTTAAAATTTTCTAGATAATAATTGAATATTAAAAGCATTATAGCATGCATTTTTAGAAATAATTGAATTTTGAAAAGAGTTGAAATTAAAATCTTGGAAAATTGGAATTTACAGTTACAATAATAATGATTTTATCACTCTGCCAACTTAAATTTCTTCATGGTTTATAATAATATTCTCTTAATTTATTGAATTTCAGAAGGTTTGGAATTTGAAAATCTTAGTTCCCGTGGAAAAATAATAATGATTAAATATTTAAAAAAAAAAGAAGTTATTGATGTTTTCGATTAATTTTACAATTAAAATTTCGTCAATAATGTAATAGTACATTTTTTTAAGTATCTAATAATTTTTGGAATGAATAAAAATATTCTTCAGGGTCAGGGAAAAAGTCAAAATTAGTCAGGAAAAAGTCAGAGAAAAACAAAATTTAATTTTTGTGGCAGCCCTGATTAATCAAATTAATAAAAATAATAATAATTTCGATGATTATGAATTAATAAATTAATTTTACTAGTTTACAAGAAAATAATAAAATGCAAATAAGAATTAAGCATTCCCATAACTTCAAAAACGACTATCTTTCAATAAGTTTTTTTTACCGCTCTTAAATTTTTTTCTATATTTTGAATTATATTCTCCCTCCTTTTTAACCCTTTTTACAGAAGAAAACCGATAAAAATTTCATTTTTTTCTTAATTAGAAAACTTTTATTCTGTTCTTCTTTATCTATTATTTTGCACCTTTGCTGAATATTATTTTTTCTTCTTTCTGTATTCCTTTTTTCTTTTTTTCTTTTTTTCTATTGCTTTTATAATAAAGTAAAGAAAAAGAAAAAGAAAAAGGAAAAGAATTAAAAATTGTTATTTGGTTTTTTAAATATTTTTCATTGCATTATTAAAATTGAAAAAAAGTAATTTTCATTAAGAAAAAATGGTGTTCTTGCATTAAAAATTTAGGAAGAAATAAATAAATAACTAATTTTGGCTACTTTTTTGGTCTGTCCTATTTTTTTTGTTTTTTTTGTGAATTTTTTTTCTTACATGCTGCTTTGCGATTCTGCCTTGCATTTCACGTGCGAAGGTAGCACTGAGAACTTGCATCATACTCAGGGCCAACCTCATGGCCCACTGAGACGAACTCCGTCCTTACCACGATCATATCGTCAATCTGGGATTCCGATTCTGCAAAGACCCACTGACAATTACTGTAATTTTCTCCATTTCAAGTTTATCTCGCTTGTTTTGTTACATATTACCTTTTAGGCATCTCTCAAACTAAACATTTCATTTCAACGAAAAACTAAAATATATTTTTAATTTCCAAACAGAAGTGAATTTTCCTAATAAAACAATAGATTTCCTCCCTAATAATAAATTGGTGGAAATTAATTAATTAATGAAAGATAGAAAATAAATTCATTTAATCGTTTTGTTAATAGTAGTGGATTGACTGTTTATTTTTACGATTCGGTGGTGATAGAAAAAGTTACAAAAGTATTTTAGTAAATTTGTTTTATTAATGAGGGATTATTAACTGAACTAATTGGTTAATTACTAATTAAAAAATTCCGAAAGCTTTCATAATTTCTACTAATTTAATTTTTTTTATTTTATCCCACAAACTAATGTAAATGTTTTTAAAATATGTTAATTTTGAAATTTTGTTGTATTTACACTGTTTTTTAATTTATTTTTTGTATTTTACTTTTTACTAAATAGTTTTTCAAACATTATTTTTAATTGAATTAAGTTAATTCCTTTCCTATAATTATTTTTCATATTAAAAACTGTTTTCAATTTTGAAAGAAAATGTGTTTACAAAAATTGATAATCCTTTAAATTCAATAAATGAAATTGAATAAGTATGTAGAAATTTTTTTTTATTTCTGTAAATATTTGAGAGAAGCACAACAGTTAATTAATAAGCAAAAAACCAAATCGCACTTGTAAAGACAAAACATTTAATCTCTCCAGTCCTTTGTAGTTTCGGTTTGCCTGCGAGACATTAAACACTAAAGAATAAAGGGAATTAATTATTGAAAAATAATAATGTAATATCAGCACTTTTTTCTCTATCGCACATTTTTTTCTTCTTCTAATTAAAATTTCTAATAAAGAATTGTTTTTTATTTTCACAAAGGCCGAATTACACCAGTCGGACGGTCAACGAGTGCTATTGATCATCAAGCTGCTCAGAGGGCAAAAGCCAGAATGCTCTATGCGAGCATTAATCGACAAAAAGCCACATTACGTAAGTGAAAACATTTTATTTCTTTTTATATTCCTACTCTTATTTTTGTTCTTCATTTCATCTTTTCTCTATTTATATTTTTAATAAGTTTTTCATTCAATTGAATAAATGTCAGAGCTTTTTTTTCAAAATTTTAATCTTACTTTATCGACGGAACGTAGATGAGAAACTATGATAGATTTTTTTTTCTTGCGGCTCTCAGATCATAATGATCCTGGAATACCGAGAGGTTTGTTAAATTTTTTCTTTTTTTTTCTTTTGCACTCACAGTTATTGTAATCACAGTTTTTGTAATTATTAAAAAAATTTGTTTTTCTAATTTAGCGCGACAAAGTAAATCGCCTGATTATGGAGTTGTCGCGAGTCCGGAGAGAGTGGCGAGGACGAGGACAAGAGTTGCTGGCGTTTCGCAGTCACAACGTAAGAGAGAATTTTTTATTAATATTCTTTAATATTCAATTTCTTCACGTGGACAAAAAGAATTCGGACTTTCCAATTCTAATAATTTAGAAGTTGAGTAAATTTTTGGTTTTTCAACATTTTGAATACTTTGCAGCGAGCAGCAGATCAGGTTCGCCTTCGTCGAGACTCAGTTACGCGACGTACAATCGTGAAGGTGAATCTCTCGTTCCACGTCCTAGGAAACTGTCGAGTCAGGGCGTTGGGAGTACGGGAAACAGTCGTGAACCTAGTCCACAGCGTTTTGGAATTGAGAGGAATTTCGGCTCAAAACTAAGGTACATTTTTAATAACTAATTCAAAATTTCAATCTAACTTTAAAACCTTTTTCCTTTTAATAATTTAAATTCGCTCTACTGTTTTCTTTCTTAAATTTAATCTAAAAATTAGAAATTTTTGAAAATTGAAATAAAAATAAGAGGATTTTGTTTTCTTCTTTCTGCAGAGGGAGAAATTTACACACGTCGCCGACGGACAGGCCACCCTCGAGGCCAGTTATGGCGCAAAAAATGTTACAACAATCGAGAGAAGCCGAGTCAGCATTGGCCGACGCTTTAACATTTAATAGTATAGATAATTACAATAGAACACCAAAAGGAAAAGGCGATCACAGCGACGACAGCGAGACGAGCAGTATCTGCTCGGAGTACAGTTTGGACAGTTCACGACGACCTAGTGACGTAAGTTTTTGTTTAAATCTATTTTTATTCGCGGTATTTATTAAATTCAATAATTATTAAATAAGTAGGCTTCGCACTCATCTACTAAAACCACTATTTACTACTTTTTTTACAATTTGCTACTATTTGGGTAATTTTTTTAGATTTCAGCCACTAAAAGCTACTATTTCTGTTTTTTTCGAGAATTTCCACTACTTTAATTAAATTCGCTAATACCAGAAATCAAAAAACTATTCTCTAAAATTATAATCAAATTCTCTAAAACGATTCAATTATTTTCAAAAAATATTCAAAATTCAAGTATTTTCATCAAATTTTGCAAAAGAATTTAATTACATAGGTATTTAAAAAAAAATGATAAAATTCATCCAAATTTCAATTATTTCCATAAATAATAAAATTCTTTTCAGAAATTCAATTATTTTAAATAGAATTTTAATAAATTTTTTTTAAATAATTAAATTATTCTTTTAAATTTAAATAAAATTCTTTCCAAGAATTCAATTATTAAAGATAAATAACAAAATTATTCCCGAAAATTCAATTATTTTGAGGCATTTTAATAAAATTCAATTTCATAAAATTTCCAAAGAGAATTCAATTATTTAAAAAATTTGTTTAAAAAAATCTTTGTCAGAATTCAATTCTTTTTATGAATAAAACAAAATTTCTCAAGAATTGAATTATTGAAATTAGAATTTACATAAAATTAGTCGAAAAAAATGAATTATTTAAAAAAATTTCCAAAATTGTTCGCAAGAATTAAATTATTTTTCTAAATATTGAAGTTCTTTGATGAATAATAAAATTCGTTGCAGGAATTAAATTTATTAGCAGTAGGATGAGAAGGAGTAAATATTTTCGATGAAAATTAGTAAAAAGTCGGGAAAATAAAAAATATGGAGTGCAATTTTTGACAGTTTTGTGAAGTGTCTAAAACGAGTTTTTTTGGTCAAGTTTAATTTTTCGATAGCTACATTTTTACTACTTTTTTAGTTTGAAAGCTACTTTTTGCTACTTTTTTAAAAATAATTATCGAGTGCGAAGTCTGTTATAGATTAATTTACATATTTGCCAAAAAGTTTGAAAAGTTTATTTCCTTCATAATGCTTTTTTTTAAATAGAGAGAGGAGTACCTTAATTGTTTTTGTGAAACTAAAAATTCAGAATGTTATACCTACTTTTTTGAAATGCAGTTTTTTAGTTCATGTACTGTATGTTGTGGTTTTTTTTGTCGTCTTTTTTTCATTTGTTTTGGTTCTAATTCCATTGTGTTTAATGAATTAAAGTAATAATATACACTTGTGTTTTAATTTAATTAATTAATTAATTAATTATTCATAATTTTGATTATATATTATCATTCATCATAGATTAAAAAGAGAAAAAATTGGCACTGATGCATGTTTAAATTTTGATTTTGATTTTTTTATTTATTTTTTCTGAATTATTTTCTTGGATGATCCATGTGTTGTGATCTTGGCCACCCGATAGTCTTTCTCGTGGAGCGGCTCGCAACAGAGACTCTATCGAGATTTATGGGATCAATCAGTCCCGAAGGTTGGTCAAATTCAATTTTTGACTTGCTTTTTTAAATGCATTTTCTTTCGCTATTTTTTACTATTACGCAAATCCTCCCAGTCTCGGTTTTTGCTCTTTTACTCTCTAATTTATTTGCGATTTTGTTTTATTGGTTTGTTTTTCCCAGTTTCTTTCTTTGGTTTTTAACTCTCACTCTTTATTATTCTTTTTATTTCTTTACAAATTTTCCCAAACTCTTTTATTTGCTTTTTAACTCATTTTTTTTCATTTTTTCTCTCATTTAGTTTCCATATGAAATAAATTTTGTCTGATTCACACATTTTAATATTTTGAATTCTTTACAATATTTTCTAGTCATCTGTTTTGTGTTTCATTTCTAAAAATGGTTTATTTACTTTTTTGTATTTTTTCCCGTAATTCTTCTTTTTTGTTTTCTTTAACTTTTTGTATATTTTAAGTTCTGTTTTTTCTGTTTTTTTCATTTTTACGTTTTTTTTCAACATTTGAATATTTTCGATTTTATTTTATTTTTTCTCTTTGGGTATACAATTTTTTTTTTTTTTTATTTACTTCTTGCTTCTTATTCATAAAACTGCATTCTTAGCCTTGAATACTTTATTTGAAAAATATTTACAATTATTATCGGTATAAATTGGTAAAAAATAAAATGCTAGAAATAATTTATGAATTGGGGCAGAAAAAGGTTTTATTGGAAATAAAATTTTTATTAATTAATATATTTAACTAATTATTTTACTAGTTGAGATATTAATTTTTTTCTCTTACATAATAGATACTTTCCGCTTTCAGAAATATTTATTATACTTGGCAAAATAATTATATAATAATAATAATCGAGATTAAAATAATTATTAATGAAATTTTCTGTTTGCTTGTTTGTTTGTTTGTTTATGGGAAACTACAGGATATTAAGGAAATAATAGAGAACTGCAGCCGAAAGCATTGGAGTGACAGGAAGGAGGGTCTCGTTGGTCTTCAGCATTTTCTCTCCAATGGCCAAACATTGTCGGGCTCGGAATTGAGGAAAATAACTGACATTTTTTCAAAAATGTTTATGGACTCGCACACAAAAGTATTTAGCCTATTTTTGGATACACTCAATGAATTAATTGTCACGCATAAAGAGGACTTGGGCGACTGGCTCTACGTTCTTTGCGCTCGACTTCTCAATAAATTGGGCACCGACCTCCTCGGCTCGGTGCACGCCAAAATTCACAAGACTCTCGATATCGTTCGGTAAATATTCATTTTTCTTTCGTTAATCAACAACACAACAAGAAACCTTTTAATATTTTAATGTATATTTCTAATGTTTGTTTTGGTAAATTGATGTTTTTGCAGGGAGTCGTTCACTGGAGAGCAACTGTTGCCGGCTGTGATGCGTTTCATAACGGATCCGACGCAAACGCCGAATTCGCGAGTAAAAGTGGCGACATTGACGTTCCTCACCCAGATCACGGAAACATCGGTGCCGTCGGCGCTGACGAGTACAGCGGGTTCGGCCTTGGCGCGACTCATCGACTGGACGAATGACAGCAAAAGTCAAGACGTGAGGAGGCACGCTCAGTGCACTGTGATTGCCTTGTATAATTTGAATCCCGCGCAAGTTACCCTGATCCTCTCGGAATTACCAAAATACTACCAGGTGAGTTTTATTATTTAACTAAAAATTAACATTAACATTAAAGTGTTAATTAATAAACTAAGAACTAAGAAATGAATTGTTTTTTCCTTGACGCTTTTAGGAAGCTGCGTTGCCACTGGTGCAAAATCACTTGAGAAGATCTACGGGAACGAGTCATCCGTCATCGCCGAGCACTCCTCCACCTCGCGTTCCTCATTCGCCCGCGAGAAGATTGAAAGCAGATGTGAAAAGCGAGGTCGATTCAGGCGACGATCACTTAAACCCAGAAGAAGTTTACAAGTACGTTTTTCTTCATTAAACGATGGAAATTGATTAATTGCAGGCTTCGCACTCATCTACTATAACCTACTATTTGGATACTTTTTTTACATTTCTGACACTAAAAGCTACTTTTTACTATTTTTTCAGTTTTATAACTACTTTTTGCTACTTTTCGAAATTTGATTATTGAGTGTGAAGTCTGAAATTGAATAAGTAAAAGCATCCCGTTAAAATTGTTTCTTATTTTTCATTATTCAATTTGATGTTCAGTATCAATAAATAAATAGAAAAAATGAATATCTAATAATTTTGTTGCACTAGATCTTTAAGGAGGACAACGGCGGAAATTCAGAATTATGGTTTCGAAAGATTGGAAAGAGCGACGACGAGTAAAGACAGTGGAATAAGTAACATGGCGGATGTGGAGGAGAGAATCGAGTCGCTCACCTTGACGAATTCGGTAATTGATTTCATATTCTTATTTAATTTAATTTAGCTTGAAAACTTTTAAAAGTAGTCAAGTTTTTGTTTTGTAAAATATTTTTTCTGTTATTAATTTTGTTTGCTATTTTTACAACTGTTGAAACCCATGTTTTAAGGGCCGATCGTCGTCCGTTTCTTCGCCAACTCAGAGAGGTAAAGCCGTGACAAATTCCACTGTCAATGGAACGAACGACGGATCAGAGGCGGATGTTTTGATTCCACAGGAGAACAATGGCTTTAAAACACACGGTATTTAGCATTAGAGAAAAAAGTATTATTGGTCGTGAATTTAAAATATTAAGTGTTGGTAAAAATAAATTATTTTGCGTGTAGGTTCGTCACCGGATTCGTTGCGTGGTCCCGATGTAGTTGATAATGTAATAAAGTCATTGCAGGCACCGGAAACCGAGGAACAGGAGAAAATAACAACTCTCCAGGAGTTTCAACTGTATCTTCATGACGGTGATATTTCCTACGTTAAGCAAAACTTCAAGTTAGTTTCTCGCTCTTTACTTGAATTAATTAACTATATTAATCTTCATATTCTTTCATTCATTCTGTTGATAGTTTCAAGTACTTGAAAAATATAATATTTGTTGCATGTTTCAGGAAATTATTAAAATGCCTTCTGGAGAATTTAAGCAGTGAACAGGTGAAATTCGTACTGGAAATATTAAAGACCCTGACGGAAATGGTCAAGTGCATGGAACTCGTCGAGATTTTCACGAGCTACGCGGATCTTCTTGTACTGAAAGTGATAAATGCCCACAAATTCGACGAGCCAAATGAGGAGGCTTATAAATTGACAGTAAATAGAATAGAGGTATTTGGTTTTTTGCATGGTTTTGTTGTCCAAGGCTCCAAGGAAAAAAAAGAAAGAAAGCAAAAAGAAAGCGATCAACGGAAAATTTGTAAATTTTCTCCTGGGCTCTTTCTTCTGTTTCTTTAATTGTTTATTTTTTTAAGTAATTAATTGACTATTATTAGTAATATAGTTAATACAACTATTACAATGAATAATTAACTGATTACTAATTCTTTTTTTTCATTTTTCCCTTTTTTGCATGATCTGTTTTCTTTGTAATTCCCTTATTTCTCATTTTCTATTGTAAATACATAAAATAGCTATATTTTATTTTCTTTTTTTCCTTTTTCAAATTTATAACAAAATTATTTCTCTCAACACTTTGCACGGATTTGCACTTTACTTTATTTTTGTTCAGTGCATTAAATTAGTGAATTTTTATTTGTAGTTGAGAAGGAAAAATAATGTAATAATTTTAATTCTTTTTATTTTTTATTAGTAATATAAATTCTTTCCTTTCTTTGGTGAACTGTAAAATAATAAAAATAAATAAATAATAAGAATAATTTTGTTAAATGTTAAATTGAAATTGATCTCTCTGATTATTTGTAAATAATTGTAAATAATTGTACATTTTGTAGAAATATTAGTTTGTTTGTATTTTTTATTGAAATTTTAATGAAAATTTTTGTCTCTTCATCTCATAGATTCTTCGAATAGCGGAAAAATGTGCGGCAACGATAGCGACAATTTTGCCAGCCGACAGGATAATTAACTTAACGTCGTCAATTATAACCACCGAGGAATATCCGAGAAATATGGGAGCGATTAAGATGCTTCAAAAGGTTGTCGAACATCATGGACGACAAGTCATCGAACCTTTTCTCGATCAAGTCATGCCCAGTCTAATTCAGGTATTTTCAAAATAATATATATTTTCAATACAATAATTAACAAATTCGATTCCATTCAATAAATTATAAAGAAATTTTTCGAAAGAATTCGTTCTCTTCTTTGACTCGGACTGGTTATATTTTTGTTAATAATAATTGGTCCGTAATTTTTAATTATTTTTGGTCAGCAAAGTCCGTATTTTGAAATACTTGAACTAGTTCGAGCTCTGTGAACTGCTTGAAAGTATACTTAAATTTATGAAAATTAAAAGTAAATCCATTAGTAAATTGACAAAAAGGAGAATAACTGGAGTTTTGATTGTTTTGATGCTTTGAATCGCAGGCTTACGACCATCGAGAGAGCAAAGTGCGAAAGAGCGCCGTGTTCTGCATGGTGGCGATACACGAGGCCGTCGGCGAGGACAAGTTGAAACCACATTTAAGCTCACTTTACGGGAGCAAACTAAAACTGTTGACTATTTACATTCAACGTGCACAGCAAGCAAATAGTCAACCCGCAAGTCCACGGAGTAGCAGTAAAAATTAACTAGTGTCGAATGCTGCGTCGCTCAGGATCGCTATCCTCAAGAAATTTGCGCGCTGTTCACGTTTTTTTAAATAATATATAATTAATAAAAAAGAAAAACAGAGAGAAAGAGAGAGAAAGAGAGAGTGAGATAAAATCAAGTTGACGTGTATATATATTTTTCTTATTATTTTTTCTCTTCATTTTTATACGTATTATCCAGCAGAAAAGAAAAAAGAAAAAAGAAAACAAAAAGAAAATCAGGACAAAATAATATGAAACACGACATCCATTTTTCAATTCCTCTTTTTTGTTACCTTGTGTCGTTAAAATGAATTAATTATTATTACTATAATTATTAATATTAATTAGGAATAATTAAAATTAATATTATTTTTATTATCATTAATATTATTATTGTCCAACGAGAAACGTAGAGAGCCTTTTCAAATGCTAATTATTTAAACAAAGTTTAATACGTACATCGTGCTACTATATTATTATTATTATTATTATTATAATTATATTAATGTATCTATTGTTATTCTATTACTAATAAAGTGCAAGAGGATTCTTTCATTTGGTGATAGTATTTTCTTTTATTTCTCTTTCTTCACTGTTTCATTCTTGGAAAGGGAAATTATGTTATGTAGAACGTGACTTTTTTTAAATGGGTTTATGGAAATATGAAATGAATTTTTTTCCTTCTTTAGTTATAGTTACATCAGAAATCAACAACTTTTATAAAAATTTAACATTTACTATACCAAATTTGATATAAATTTTTGTTCAACCAATATAATTTATCAACAAACACGACTGGCGGAAGAAATAAATATTTTTTTTCAATAAGAAAAGAAATGATAAACAGGTGTATATAGAAAAAGAATATTCAGTTTTCTTTTTTATAAAGTGAAAAGTGTTGAAACTTGCTTTAAATTGAAAAAGTAAAAATGAATACTTCTCGGCGCATTCTAATTTTGATTGTTAGTTGTTTTCTTATACAAGGGTCCATTCAGGCTGAAAAGGTAATCTTGTTAAAATAAGATTCTAATATTTCCAATTATGATGACCTACAGACTTCGCACTCATCTCCTAAAACCTACTATTTGCTACTTTTTTGCGATTAGCTCCTATTTTGAATTTTGATTCAATTATTTATAAAGTTTATAAAAAATTTAATAAAATTCAAATAATATGAATAATAAAATTTTCACAGTAATTTAATTATGTGAAATAAATTAAAAGAATTTTTTTGAAAGAAATCAATTATTTAAATATTTTAATAAAATTCTTTAAAAAGAAATTAATTATTTTCTTAAAATTTGTTCTCTGTAATGTTGCTGCAAAGTTTCAGAGTAAGCTTGCAAAATAATTAATAATTAATTGTTTGTTTGATGAAAAATTAATAAAAAAATACTTGAAAATTTTTATTTTCAAGCTTATTGTGGAACATTGCGGCATCATTGCACGGTAATATTGATGCAACGTTGCCAAGTTAAGTAACATTACTGCAATATGCATGATAATGTTGCCGAAAGGTTACCGAGTAATGTTGGGATAAAAATTGCAAAAAAATGACGTTCCCGCCAAACGGATGTTACTCAAAACTGAGTCAAAACCCCGTGTGCACCTCATGCAGAACGTAGCTTTTCCGCACTTGGTGCATAATGTACTGTTAAATATATTCTCTTACAGACGAAATCTGAGCTTGAAAATATTCTCGAAAAGTTCGAATCTACTTTTTATCGAAATTTTTTTCTGATTAAAAATTGTGAAACTGATGATCTGAATATTAAACACTTTGACGATGCAAAAAGTAATACAAAGACAAAGATAAATAAAGATTTACTATCAGACAATGATGCTTCAGAATCAATGAAGGAATTAGAGAAATTTGTAACTGACCCTCAAAAAACCCAATGTGCGAAAACTGTTAAAAAAATTACTCTGGATGAATCAAACATTTTGGTTAGTTTATGCAAAAATAATATAAAAATCCCACTTAAAAAAATAATTTCAAGTATTAATAAGACTTTTCTTTTAATTTGTTTTTTGCGGTATAATAAAATTCTGTTTTATTTTATATTTATTCGAAACCTTACTTTTTCGATAATATTCAAAAATTGTTATGAAATTTTCTTCCAACTATTTCAAGTTGAATTTTACTCTTAAAAATATTTTGACATCCGTTCTAGGTGAAAATGGACTGCAACAAATACGTTCGTGTAAGTGTAACACAAAACATATTGCATATTCGAGTAATAAAATTAATTTTAAATCATTATTTTTATATTAACTGATTCAAAAATTGAAAAAAGCGCTTATTATCAATCACTACAGCCTATTTGAAATTGCAATATTAAAATTACAGGAAATGAAGTTGGCAGAGTTTAATGACTTCATTTATCAAACCTTACTGCAATATTTATATCTTGTTAAAGAAAATCTTGTACTCCTTTATAAGGTTAATTTTCCAAACAATAAAGGAAATGAACAGACCTACTATGACAATGTTAAAGAACTCGAAAAGATGTATATTCTTACTGACATTAGTAGTAACACTACCGTAAACATTGAAAATTTAAAATCAAGTTTCGGTTTCTTATTGCACCTAAACAATGATATAGATGGAACAAGTGCTCCTGAAGAAGATGATGAATTTACAGAAGATTATGAAAATAAAATGACAAAATTTGAAACCGAATTGGTAAGAAAAATTGTATAAACTTATTTTACAAGATTTTACATTCCTTTAAGCAATCATGTTAAAAAAATTAATAAAAATAAATATCTCTCCCCTCCATAAAAAATAAATATTCTAATATGTAAGTTTTTTTCAAATTGTATAATACATCAAAAAATTTTGACTCAGACAGCCTACTATACATTTTATTTGTTTCAAGTAAAATTGTTATTTAAAATAAATAAATAATTTAGTAGGGTCTGAGACAAATAATATACTTTTATTATTCTGTCAAAGTAGAATAGGAATCCCTGCTGGAAGTAAAGAGATACAAAGAGATTAAAAAAAGGGGATAAAAAAAGATTAAAAGGTATAATAGTTTGGAGATGCAAAATGGATACTTAAAAGAGATACAAATTTTTTATCTCTTTCTATAACCTTATATTTATATATCTTTTTATCCCTTCTAATCTCTTTATATACAGTTTCAGATATAGAAATATATAGAAAAAAATATATAAAAAGAGATAAAAAATTGGGGATGCAAAGTGGTGAATTAAAGAAGATAGAACTTTTCTATCTCTTTCTATTCACACATTGCTATCTTTCTCTATCCATTTTCACATCCTTTCTAATCCACAGGAAAGTAAAAACAGAGATATCCCTTATAGAAGAAATTGATTTATTTTAATTAAAAACTTTCTCTATTGTTGTTAATTGAGTTTCTTAATCGTGTTGTTCTAATTCATTACTATTAACTATAAAAAATTTGCAAGTAAATCTTTAATATATTTTTAGAAAAGTTTCGGTGCTGTGTGAGTTTAAAACTAATTTTGGTTGTCTATTACTGATAAGCATTTATTGGTTAAATATATTTACAATAAACTACAAAAATATGAAAGTTAAACTCAAACAAAAACGTAAAATCGCACAGTGCATAACACACGCTTTCTGATCTACGGATCTACTGACTCGACGCCATGACACATAACAGCTGGGAAAATCGACGCATGCGCGTATATCTTTATCAGTATGTATATAGAAAGGGATATACTATAGTAGATTAAAAGAGATAATTTTATTATATCTCCTCAAATCCCCATATTCTTGTCTATCCCTATATATCTCTTCTAAATATGGGATTGAAAAAAGATAAAAAGAATACCATTCGGAAAAGAAGAATGATAAAAAGGAATAGAAAAAGTTTAAAGTTTTGCAGTCTCGCATTTCTATCTTAATAATGGGAATAAATAAGTGTTAATAAGGTCCTACATAAAAAGCGATGGAAGGGTATAAATATGATATCAATAGTTATTAAGAAAAGGTTATAAATGTGGACAAAGAAGATTATCAAGAACTTCTGTCATAAAAAGAGATAGAAGTTTATAGACAGGTTATTAAAAGGTATTGAGAATAGGTTATTAAAGGCCAACGCAGAATAGATCTGTAACCGGAACCGCAATCGTAACCGTAAGCGTAAGAATGAGTTAGAGAAGGATAAACAATATACCTATTCTTCTTTAACTCATTCTTACGCTTACGGTTACGATTGCGGTTCCGGTTACAGATCTATTCTGCGTTGGCCTTAATAGGTATAAAGAATAGTGTCTATAAGGTCTAACATTGAAAGAGATACAAGGAAATAGACAGGATTTTAAAAGTAATAGAGAAAAGGTGATTGAAAGGGATAACAAAAAGTTGCAATAAGATTGTATATAAAAAGAGATAGAAGGGTTTAAAAAGGCTATTAAAAGTTATTCAAAAAAGGTGATTAAAAGAAATAGCGAACAAGTTGATAAAGGTAGGAATAGAAAGGCATAAAGAAGTATAGGTAAGAGATTAAAAGTTATACAATATTCATATCTCTTTCTATATTAGCAATAGAAAGGGATTAAAAGAGAAAAGGTTTCTATCTATTTACTTCCAGCAGGGATGTAACCGGAATCGGAATCGTAGTCGGAAGCTGGTCGGAAGCTTTCCGATTGCGATTCCGGTTACGTTTCTATTGTGCTTTGTCCATCTTGACTTTAAAACTCCCTCTGGTATTTTTAACGACCGTTATTGTATTTAGAAATAATCGGCAAATTGGTGGAGATTTATGTACAATTTCAAAATATTTATGACTCTAATGCAATATTTATATTAACATTATAGAAAAATCTAGAAGCGAATCTTACAGTAAGATATAAGACTATGCCAGTTAATGAACCAATTTCTTTTCCAATGCCAATAATTGCTGGAGTTATACTTGCTCTATCTACATTGTGTCTTTTTATGAAGAAATTCTCTAAAACATAATGAGAAAAATGCCTAATAAGGAGGAATTTCAAGAAAAGAAAAAAATAGTACAGAATTACTATTAATTTGATAAGTTCCTCTCAAATCTTAATAAAATTACATTTTGTTCTATCAATTTGTCAATAAAACAATATATCTAAAAGTAAGAAAAATCGCTATAATTATTAATAGAAATACCTATTATTATGACATTAAATTCTTCAACTTTTTTCATTAATTGATTAAATAAGTATCATATGTACTACATTTTCAAGTCATATGTTCTGCGCCTGAATTTTCTTATCTAAATATTGAGAATTTGAGATTATATTCGCATTTGCCTTAGGTACTTTTTCGATTTGTCGAGTTGTGCAAAATCTAAAAAGACTTCAAAAATATTTTTTTAGTTTAAAATTTCTTGTTTTTGAAAAATGCGACGTGATGAAAATTCTTTACCTCAAGATTCGTGTTCAGCAAAAAAATGCATTCGGAAAGGCATAAATTTTATCAGAAGCAGTAAATTATTTATTACTAAATGTAGAATTTATTTTTTACCTTGAAAATTTATTATCTTAATTGTTTGAAAAGAAAAACGGTTAAATATTTCAGTTATTACTCCCCCCCTTATTCATTTCTATATGAAATATGCAATGATTTTTTTTAGCACAACAAAATTTGCATTTTATTTTCTGTCGGAAAAAAAAAATTATTGTGGAAACATCTTTAGGAAAGATTGTGAACATTTCTTTAATAAGGAGTCTCCAAAATGAACGGTCTTTAAAAGCGTCCAAGTTTGTGTCCTACGTAACGTAAAATTTAACAAAACAAATCTTCGAAAGTATAATCGCGATAAACCTAAATCTATACGACAAATAATATAATGAAAATAATTTAAAAAAGAATTATTATATTTACCTACTCCAGTTAACATTAATTTAATATGAAATTTTGGATTTTTACTACAGCAGGGTTCCTACAGAAATCCGAATTTAAAATTCCATACCTTTTCCATGATTTCCAGGTCAAATTTTTAGGAAATTCCAGTGGAATTTTAAATTTAATTTCCACATACATATTATATCTTAAAATTTCTAATTGAATTTCTATTGAAGAGAAAAAATGGAAAAATTTCAGACCTTTTCCATGATTTCCAAAATAGCCTTTTAAAAATTCCATACCATTTTCATGATTTCCAGATTCAGGAACCCTATGTACAGGGATATGTTAAAGTACACAAATTTTAAGTGGAATTTTTTTAATAATATATTATAATTCTAGAGTTGATTTAGCATTTGATAGTGTAATTCATATTATTCATAATGTAAATTATGGGTGGTTAGTTCGATTAATTCATATATATGCAGCTTCTTTTTTTTATTTCTCTATTTATACATGGGCAATTCCACGCAAGATTTACCTATGACCTTGAGAATTCGGTTAAACATATTTTTTTCTCAATCTATATGGAAAAAAAAAGAAATACGTGTTTTTTTATTTTTGTTTAATCGCCCAAATTTTCGAGTTATGAATTTTCGAAATTTTGGATTTGTAACTGTAGACATATTTTCAGTAGCTTATAAGTCTGAAAATATTGAGTTTAGAAAAAACTTTTTAAGGAATGAAAGTTTTAGTTTTCTTTCAACTTTTAAGAAATGTAAAAAAAAATTTTTTTGTTAAATTTTTTATTAAAAAAAAATTTTTTTTTTATAAACAAATTAATTTTTTTTAACTTTGGACCCTTTTTTTTTAAATTTATTTATACCTTATAATATACAGAAGATTTTCCAAAAAGTTTTGGAGTGGGCCGACGCGTTTAATGAGTTGTACAAAATTTTCAAAAATCACGTGCAAGGTGCTCGCGTTCTACGAAACGCCTCACAATGGAATTTTTTTACAATTTACTTCTCAAAAAATATGTCTACAGACTAAAATTTTTAATCGATTCTCGTGTTTTTTGTTTTAAATAAAAGGAGAACAATTTCTGAAGATATCTCTCCATGCAAACCTAAGAATCTTCAATTGTTTATAATTTTTTTTAAATACAAAAAGTTAACAAATGAGTTGTGTAGTTTCCTTTAAAAATGAAAGATTATTTTCTTATTTTGCTACTACACATGTCCTAAATCAGATTCAATTAATATAATATACGACCACCAAATAAATAGTAAAACATAAAATAATTTATCTAAACTGTTATAAACAATATTAGTTAACAAATAGTTAACTTTGGTTCCTCTCCATAAAAAAACTTTGTTCTTTCATATTCATATTGTACTTTAGGTTCATTTAATAAATACATCTCCCTTTCGTTAAAAAACAATTTTTAATTGTTATAAACAATAATAGTTAACAAATAATGAACTTTGGTTCCTCTGCACCAAAAAGAATTTTTTTCATAGTTTTCATTGAAGTTTATTACAAAGAATATATATATGTTAAAAAATAGTGTACGTATGAAATAGTTTGTTCAATAACTATACACAATTTAATTTATATAAATTTGTATTAAATGTTTTTTTCTTTCCTTGTGTTTTTGAAAATTAAAATAAAAAAATGAATTAAAATAAAATAAATGCAATTAATATATATTTTACATTAAAATGTTTATTGCTTTATTTTGACACAAACATTCTTTGTAATAAACTTCAATGAAAACTATGAAAAAAATTCTTTTTGGTGCAGAGGAACCAAAGTTCATTATTTGTTAACTATTATTGTTTATAACAATTAAAAATTGTTTTTTAACGAAAGGGAGATGTATTTATTAAATGAACCTAAAGTACAATATGAATATGAAAGAACAAAGTTTTTTTATGGAGAGGAACCAAAGTTAACTATTTGTTAACTAATATTGTTTATAACAGTTTAGATAAATTATTTTATGTTTTACTATTTATTTGGTGGTCGTATATTATATTAATTGAATCTGATTTAGGACATGTGTAGTAGCAAAATAAGAAAATAATCTTTCATTTTTAAAGGAAACTACACAACTCATTTGTTAACTTTTTGTATTTAAAAAAAAATTATAAACAATTGAAGATTCTTAGGTTTGCATGGAGAGATATCTTCAGAAATTGTTCTCCTTTTATTTAAAACAAAAAACACGAGAATCGATTAAAAATTTTAGTCTGTAGACATATTTTTTGAGAAGTAAATTGTAAAAAAATTCCATTGTGAGGCGTTTCGTAGAACGCGAGCACCTTGCACGTGATTTTTGAAAATTTTGTACAACTCATTAAACGCGTCTGCCCACTCCAAAACTTTTTGGAAAATCTTCTGTATATTATAAGGTATAAATAAATTTAAAAAAAAAGGGTCCAAAGTTAAAAAAAATTAATTTGTTTATAAAAAAAAAATTTTTTTTTAATAAAAAATTTAACAAAAAAATTTTTTTTTACATTTCTTAAAAGTTGAAAGAAAACTAAAACTTTCATTCCTTGACAAGTTTTTTCTAAACTCAATATTTTCAGACTTATAAGCTACTGAAAATATGTCTACAGTTACAAATCCAAAATTTCGAAAATTTGGGCGATTAAACAAAAATAAAAAAACACGTATTTCTTTTTTTTCCATATAGATTGAGAAAAAAATATGTTTAACCGAATTCTCAAGGTCATAGGTAAATCTTGCGTGGAATTGCCCACATACATATTGGTCGGGGACTTTATTTAAGATCCCACAAAATAATTTATCCTTGATTAAGAGGAAGAATTTTATTTTTAATAATTATAGGAGCTGCATTCTTAGGGTATGTGTTGCCTTGAGGGCAAATATCATTTTGAGGGGCAACTGTTATTAAAAATTTAGTTTCTGCAATTCCTTTTATTGGTAATGATCATTACATCATAATATCATTATATCATTATTATCATTATATCGATATTCTTGGTACCAATTGAATTTCCTTATATGGAAATTGGAAAAATTTTGTCTGCATTATTATAAATTTATATCTGATATTAATTTATAAATTTATTTAAATATATATAGTTTTAATTTGTAAAATTTTTATTATAGATAAATTAAAGTGTCAGCAATAGCGGTTATGAGCAGCGCGTCAGTAAGAGTATATTATAAAAAATTTGTTAACTATGTTAACTAAACAATTAATCTGCAATGTCACAGAAGATGTTCCCATTTACTTTCGTGTTGAATAAATAAGATAAACTTGATTTTTCGACTTAAAGTTACATTTATTAATGTTTCTTTATAGGTATGCCTTAAAGGCTGCCTACTAGTTTCATGGTTTCGGATGGTTTCCACCTGACAGGACTAAACAGACTAAATTTGATAACTTCTTACGACTCACTGCTTATTCTCTCTTTATATGAGAAAGAACACATTAGAATGTAGAATCCCAAGTATAAACAGAGTGGCGCCACCTGTGCACACTATCTTCAACTTCCTGGAAAAAGAATCTCAACCGACTACGTGTGGCTCCCGTTTTTGAAAAATTTTTTAAAATAAAATATGTGGTGTGTGCGACTTGTGATATCGGCGCGAGTGGTACAAACGAGTGTTGCTACAAGTTAACTTAAAAATGGCTGAGGAAACAGTTATTGTGTCAAATGTGTTGTCAAGTGAAGAATCATTGGATGCAGATAAAGACCAACCGTCGGCGCTTGGATTATTGAATCGGAACTGCGAGACGCTTCCCTGCTCCACTGGTACGTAGAACTTCCGGTTTCATCTGTGCCCACACACACAAACATATTATTGCTCCAAATTCGTAACCTCTAAATGCTGATTGAAACTTTTGCACCTGTGCTTCTCATGCGTGTCCAATCAACTTACACAAAATTTATACACACACACCTTTACATAAAGTTTCTCACATTTCAATCAAATTTTAATTTTTTAAAAATCATTTTATTTCATTCCATTTTTTGCTAAATCCTAAACGATTTTTTTGAAAAAAAAATTGACAAAATGTTGATTTATTTGATTTTAATATATACGTACATATAACTACATATGTGTGAAATTACACACAGGTATGCGAGACAACAACCGGTTAAACGTGACCTAAAAATGAAGTAATCGAAGATATTTATCGCAAGATATATAATAAAAAAATGGAATTTCAAGATATATTTTGATAAGATATTTATATTTCACGCACTTGATATTATTTCATATTGATTGATTGATTTAAAGAAAAATAGAAAAT